TTCTTGTTTTCTTAATTGCTTATAAGAATATCAAGAAATTTGTCATGAAATTTAAATATTTTTTCCTTAATATATTTATGATAAATTAAAGATTTTTAATACAATTTTATTGCATTCTTTTTAATTACTCATAAAAATATTGAAAAATTTCTAATCAAATTTGACTGTTTCTTCTTTAATATGCTCATGGCAAATTAAAAAATATTAAATCAAATTTAATATAATTTTTCATAATATAATAATCACTTGGAACATAATTAAAATAAAACTCATAAAATATTATTTATTAATTTTATTTAATTTCTTTAGGAACAAATACATGTGTGTTTCATCATGTTTCATTAATATACATCAATTCACGATTATATAAACTGTAGAGCTGTCACCCGTATGGATTAAGGAACGGACACTTTTATCATAAATCTCATAAACTTGACACCTTACCAATTTATTTATTAATTGTATCATCCTTTATTCTCAACAATAGTGCTAGCAATAATAATCTCCCCCCATTTCTTCTTTCACTCCTCAAAAAGTGTCTATCCGTTATAATTTCGCGACTTATACATTTATTTATCAATATCAATATCAATATTTATATATTTATCCATTTAAATTCATATAGTAAATATATAACATAAAAATCAATAATCCTTAATAGTAATATTTAATTGTAAAAGATATATATATTTATCTCAATAATTATTAACTTACAAAAAAAAAAAAGAAAAAAGAAGAAAAAAAAGATACTCATGGCACAATTGAAAAGTGTCAATTTAAAGGTAATTATAATTTCATTTATTTATTTATTTTTCTTCTTTTATAATATATCATTTATTTATAATTTATATTCTAATCCTCCATATTATTCTTGCAGAAAAAAACGTTTGTTAATTAATATTCGCGACATTTTTAATTACTAAAATTTCGGCGACATCTTGATGAAGAATAAATTTGTATCTTTTTATTTTAGTTTTGTTATTATCACAGAGGAATCGACACTTGAGTCACCTCGTTGTGGCAAACGAAAGTTCGATCGCAATAATCCGTGGTAATTTTTTTTTTTTTATAATTATATTTATTAAAAAATTTTCCAAAAAAAAAAAAATATTGAAGTTATAAAATAAAAAATAAAAAATATAAAATAATAAAATCAATAATTGTAATCGTAGTAATTATACTAAATATTGATAAAAATAATAATTAATTATTAAGCTGTATGTGAAGTGCGCTCACATTGAGTAATCGGTTAATGATCTAATTATAATGGTTTAAACATGTTGCATATCAATCTATTTGGTAGAATTTTTTAATTAAATGACTTTATCTGTTAACTGGATTATTTAATTACTATTGTTATTGTTATTGTATTGTTTATGGTATTGTTATTGTATATTGTATTGAATTGTAATTGTTTAATTATTCTGGAATAAGCTGCGGGAACGTATGCGATGAGCACATGATGCGATTGCACGGTTAAAACAACAAACTAAAAGAAGAAATAAATAACGCTCTGTAATTTTAATTTGTAATATATAAATATTTACCTGCGGAATAAATTTTTTTTTTTCATTTTATCCGACAGACATTTTGCGAGTAGAGGCACGACAATATAATTATTAAATATAAAGCGTGCTCCCGACGAGATTTATCAAACGCTCGCTTTTTTTTTATACTTTTTCTTTAATTTTTATTATTCACTTAACTTTTTTATATACGGAATAGAAAATTGATCAATGATCAATATATCTTTTATCTAAACTTTTTCCAGGTGGAATGTGTTCATAACTTTGCCACATATACTCTCACATTGTGCTCATATTTTATTCAGGAGCGCATTTAATATATGCATATCTATTTCTATTTTATAATTATAATTAATTAATAATATTTATTTTTATACATTTATATATATATATATTTATATATAAATGTATATTTTTTTTTAATATATATTTATATTTATATGCAAATCCACTCCTCATATAAACTATGTACAAAACAACGAATAAAACTTCAAAATAATTCACTCACGCCTCCTAATTTAATCAATATTAATTATTCTACTTTCAAATTATTAATGTATATCCTCCAGTAAATACAGGCTTGAGGTTAAATTAATTTGTTTTGCAATAAAAAAATAAGAAAAAGCTATAATTAAAATTGTTTCAAAAGAAATGAAAAAAAAAATTTTTTTTTTTTTATTTAGTCATTTTTACAAACTTTTTTTTTAGTTTTATTACAAAACAATTTTTAATTCAACTTTTTAGACGGAAAAAACAAGATGACACTGGATATTATCTCAGATTATACTCAGTGATATCTGTAGTGAAAAAAATTCCAAGAGCTCTCTCCAAAGGACAGCTTAAAAAAAAAATTTTTAAGAGGTCGCTCCCGATTTTTTTAAATTTAAAAAATCGTCGAAAATCGAATTTTTTTTTTTTAATTTTTTTTCTCGTTACGTCATAATTTTATAGACAAAAAAAAAAGATTTTCCTGAAACTTTCAGTTCTAAATGTGAATTCTAAAAGGTCGCTCATAATTTTTTTTTAATTTATTAGTGACTATTTAATTGGATTAGCATTTTTTGACTCTGAAATTTAAAAAAATATTATGAGCGACCTTTCAAAATTTAAATTTTGAATTGAAACTTTCAGGAACTTATTTTTTCTTGGTCTATAAAATTATGACGTAACGAGAAAAAAAAATAAAAAAAAAATTTCGATTTTTGAAATTTAAAAAAATTTTGAGCGACCTCTTAGAAATTTTTTTTTGAGCTGTTCTTTGGAGAGGACTCTTAAAACATAAAAAACTGACATTTTTTCATTTGAGACTCAAAAAAAAAATAGTCGATTTTTTTGCGCCACCCTAATACTCATTGTAATCTGGGATTATACTGAATGATATTTGTGGTGTCATTTGAGACTCAAAAAAAAAATAGTCGATTTTTTTGCGCCACCCTAATACTCATTGTAATCTGGGATTATACTGAATGATATTTGTGGTGAAAAAAAAATTTCAGATAGTAGCTAGAAAAATTTAGATTATGCTGCTTCTAAATAACTGGATTATACTCATTATAATCTGAGATTACACTAGCTACTATCTGAAATTTTTTTTCACTCAGTATAATCTCGGATGATATCCTACGTCATTTTGTTCTTTCAGTGTAGCCTTTAAAAAAACTTAAAAAAAAAATAAAAATAAAATAAAAAACAACTCTACCAACAGTTTTCTACTCCTACATATTTATTAAAGTGTATTATTGTTCGTAAAGAATAAAGTTAGAAATAGAAATTGTTTGTTCTTTGGTAGCACGGTGATGTACAGACAACCATACAAAGTTAATATTGTCCGATCGTGACAGGTGGTCCCAACCGCCAAACATAAATCGTTATTATTACCATTAATCATTAATTATAAATGATAATAATAACAACAATAATAATAAAGTTCAATTATTAATTAGAACTTTAAATTATCAATTATAACTACTTTGTTAATATTCAGCAGTCCTGCAGGACTATTGACGATAATCCTAAAGTTCTGGTTAATTGGACTCAGCTCCTCGTAATCCTCTGTTCGTAAATACATGAACATGCATACATATAACATATGTACATATAACACACGTATGATTAATTACCAATGGATTGTTTAGCGGTAAACAACCGCTCAATATTCATTTATCGCCGTGTCCGATATCTACACACGATTACCAAACAAATTTATGTGTAAACATCTCCATAAAATACTCGGACTCATACTTAAATATATATACATTCAACTTATAATTATTAATAATCATAATCGTACATCACGACAATTGTTCGGTCGAATCTCAAAATTTCAGCCTGTAATTTATAATAATCATTACATTTTAATATTCATTTATAAAGTACGTGAACCGAAAAATTAATCAAGCGTTAATTACAATTATTTTTATAATAATTCATTGCGTAAGCAGTTACATATTCACACTAGACATTTATAATTTACTTATCTTAATTATCTTAGCTTAATTAAGTAAATATTTAGTTCCTCGTCTATGTACACCCTGTTATTAATTCCAATTAAATATTTAAGGTATTTTTTATACTTATAGCAATAATAATTCGCGTTAAATTTAGATATTAATTGTTGAAAATTTTTTTTTCAAAACATTTGCTCTTATTTAGTAGATTTGCTCATTATTAATTAATTAATCTTTAATAAAATTTAATTATAATTAATATCAAAGCTTTAAGTAGTAAATAAAGTCATAAAGTACCAGAGACTTTTAATTACACATTAGATTATTTTTCAAAAATTTATCAGAGCAAGTCGGTCTAAAAAATCAAAGTAAGGCCCATAACCTGTTGGAGTAATTATTTTTACAGAATTACATTTAAAATATTTTTTATAATTAAAGTTTGACGGAAAAAAGCTAGGCTCTGCTTGGTAATCTTTAGCAATAGTGATGTGAGGCTGATCATTTTTTACCGTCACATTTATCAGAGATTTTTTTTTTCATTAATTATTAAATTAATTTCAAACATTTTAACAAAAAAAAAAAAAAATTCTAACAATTTATATTAATAATTAATTATTGAATTTATTTTAAATAAATAAATTTTTTTTTTAAAAACTGAAAAATTATTTTTTTCAAAAAAAAAAAAATTCTAACAATTTATATTAATAATTAATTTTTGAATTTATTTTAAATTAATTAATTTTTTTTAAATTGAAAAATTACTTTTTTCAAAAAAAAAATTATTTAAAAAAAAAATAGAAAAATTCTAACAATTTATTATTTTTTAGTTAGAAATTTTTTTTTTAAATTAAATGTGACGGAGCAAAAAATTTCTGACTATGATAAAAAATTAGTGACGGTGATTTTACAATAATTCACATCACTATCCAGCAGTAAACGTCTGGGAAATTTTCCATGCCAGCTGCGGAATTCTTCGACAGTCGGTAAGTGAAGCTCGACATTGCCTGGTGATTCCTAGCGGGTTGATTTAACATGGTCTGGTTAATTAAATATTTAATTATTCAGGCGTTCATCCCCTAAATTTACGGCTGCTGGAGCAGCAGCTGCTCGAGTTCATCAGCGGATCTAAGCAGAAATGCTGCCGATTCTCGGTACCCGGTTATCAGTTGCCTCACAGCAGTCATCTCGGTGGCGTTTAATTTGTGACTAAGTAGAGGCTTTGTGTTCTTCATACTCAGGTCAGTTGGTCCTGAAATTAATATTTTATGATTTAATTAATTTAATTGAATTAATGCTTGAGGAAGGATAAAAGCAACTAAGAAGAATATATTGATTTATGAAAAAAATAAAAAAAAAGAGAGCAGTATTACTTTGTGTACCGTTGCTTAGGAGTCCAGAGGTGAAGCTCTGTGTGGGATAGAGCCCTGCGGATAGAGTTGGCGGTACGTTGGTAGGTCCAGCACGCTGGAATGCCTGGCTGAAGTTGGGTCTGTACATCGCGGTGGGTGCTCCGCCACTTGCTACGCCGTTTACCGCTGATGAGCTAACTATCGTCGCTTGGCTGTAAATATAAATCACAATTGGAAAATTGATCGTCAGGAAATTTATCCATCAACGGGTTCATTGAATGTCGCGCGTGCGAGGTTATTTAATCGCTTCTGTCTCCTAGATCAAGTCAATCATAGTCAAGGTAAATGGCTTTGTAATCTACGGTTATATACCTTTTTTTATGATTTATTATCTCGATGTTTTATTTATTGAATTTTTAATTTTCTGATAACGATCGTTTTTTAGAGTGATAAGCAGAACATTTTTTATTTTTTTTTTTTTTTTAATTTAAATTGTGGTGATACTTTTATACTTATCAATATTTATAAATAGAGATAAATTATATTTGTACAATGTTTGATAAATATTTTTGTAGAGTATTGAATTAATTTCAATTAAAAAAATTTTTTAAATAATAACAATAAGTAAATAGTAACAATGAATTTTTTTAAACTCGATATTTTTTTATTATTATTATTATTCTATACAAAAAATTATTAACAAAACTTGCAATAAATATTTTTTAGAAATTTATTTTTTTCAATTGAAAATATAATAATAATAATAATAATAATAATAATAATAACTAAAATAAAATTTTGCTTTAGCAAATAATGACTTTTGTTGAATTGCACTGTACTTTCTTAACTATTGACGTTTTTAAAGATATAAGCTACTCAAATGAAAGGACTCGATGAATGTAACATCGGGATGAGCTTATATCTTTAAAAATTTCAATAATTCACAAGATATTTGTTGAAATGCCATGTACTTTCTTAACTATTGACGTTTTTAAAGATATAAGCTCGTCCCGATGTTACACTCATCAAGAGCTTTCATTTGAGTACCCACATGCATTTTTGATATATTTATCATATATACATATATATATAATATATATAAATATATGAAAAATTGATGTGGGTACTCAAATGAAAGGTCTTGGGGAGTGTAACATCGGGATGAGCTTATATCGTTAAAAATATCAATAGTTCACGAGATACCAGGTCATTTCTTAATTATCTATCTAAAGATTTTCGAATTCAGCCTAAGTACTTATCATCATAAATTGACTATTGCCGAGAATGATATGAAACCATAAAAAGGCACAACTCCAGGGCAAGACTTATTCAACGATACCAAAATTTTGCTTATTATCTTAATAATATAGATAATAATAAAGTAAAACATAATAACAATAATTAAAAATATTTTTAATTATTTATTACATACTATATCACTATTTAGATGAATTTCGATTGAAAAAAAAAAAAAAAAAAAAAATTTTGTCATTTTTTTAATAACAATAATAATAATAATAACAACAAAGTAATTTTTTAAACTTAAATTTTTACTTTTAATTTTTATTATTAATATTATTTTTATTATTAAACTAATTGAATAATAATAGTTAAATCGCACTTAATTATCAAACAATAATTACGCGTATCATAATAGTCTAATTTAGCATAAGAAACAACCCGCGAGTGGAGTAATTAGTAGCAAATGATATAGATAGGCTAGATAAATTGGCAACTATTACCAAATCCCCTATCAATATGATATCACGAGTCCCGTGGCTGTCCATCCTTGGTATGTAATAACTTAACTCAGTTCTGTGTTGTACGTCGTGTGTGCCAATCGAATTATAGCCAAGCAAAGCTTACGCAACCAGGAAACCAGCTACTAGGGTAGTGCGGGCACTATATAACACCCATCCCCGTGATCTAGATATATTGGGTTTAGTTGATGATCGGTTGCATAAACGTACCTCATAAGACCCTTGTTGTCGGTGGACGTCAATAGTTTAGATGTTGGCGCAAGCGACAGGGGCGTCGAGGCGAGGGTGCTGTTCGGTAAACTGGCCAAACTAGTCAGCGGCGCGAGGGATGTCATCGAAGTTGGCGGCGTGTCCTCTCTTTTTCCCGGCAGGGATTTTATCGGCGTGCTCGCAAAGTGTTCCAGGCTCGACCGGACGTCTGTCTGCTGAAATTTTTAATGTTTCATTAATTTTTCTCAATTATTCTTAATTAATTACAATTATAAATTAAAAATTAAATATAACAGGTCAAGTTTACACTTTTAGAAAATTTATAATATATACTATAGAAATTTTCAATTTTTACAGTGAAAAAATTGTTTGTACAAAGCTGTATAAAATGATAGAAGACTTAAAAAACTTTTATATAATTATTTAAAATGTTTTTCCGAGTTTTTTATTTTAACAGATCTATAGCTGAAAATTTAAGTTTTCTTTTTTATTGGTAAAAATAACATTATTTAAAAAAAAGTTTTATTTAAGACTGCCGTGACTTATGAACTATAAATGAATAACATTTTGATTTATTAAATAATGACTTTTGTTAAATTGTATTGTACTTTTTTAACCATTGACATTTTTAAAGATATAAGCTCATTTCGATGTTACACTCATCAAGACCTTTTATTTGAGTACCCACATCAATTTTTTCATATATTTATATATATTATATATATGTATATATGAAAAATATATCAAAAATGCATGTGGGTACTCAAATGAAAGGTCTTAATGAGTGTAACATCGGGATGAGCTTATATCTTTAAAAATGTCAAGAGTTCACAAGATACAAGATCATTTTTTAATTATGTCTCTAAAGATAGAGCATTTTCGAATGCAGCTTAAATACTTATCATTATAAATTGACTATTGATCAGAATGATATGAAACCTTGAAAAAACACAACTCCAGATCAAGATCTTTCTAATGATACCAAATTTAACCATAAAAACCCATTTTATCATATAAATACACTAGCCACAAAATTTTTCTTGTTCTCTTAATAATATAGACTTGTAAACTTTTCATTTATAATTGCATAAATCTATGTCAATAGTTTTCATTCACTGCTATTACATTTTATTTATTTATCATCTACAAAAGTGAATTTTTTTTCCGTCGCGCTCCACTTTCATTGCCCGCCGCGCTTATTTTATATCTATAATTATAATTATAACAATATTGAGTAGATGTCGACGTACACGGTGCATTTAGCTCATCTGTGATGAGGATTTTTATTTGTTAGTACCTGTCGCTGCTCATCCTCCGCGTAATCACAAAGCTGTTGCCGATTACGGTGTTGCTGTTGCTTATGAATGACCCTCAGATTTTTTTTCCGCATCGTAATTATTAAACTCAATAAATATATAATAAATAATATTGTAAAAGGAGTAGTAGTGACCCGAGTGTAATACAGCGATGATCAATCCCACATGGTATTTTTAATGATAATCTTCTTTATCATTCTATTCAACAGACTATCGATCAAATCATCTATCTATCTTATTATAATATTATATATTATATATTTATTCTACCGTTGCACTGGTCATCACATCGTAGCCATTTCTTCGGCATTACATCGATAGACTAGGAGACCAGAGACCAGAGACAACAGACCCTAGCCAGATACTAAGTGACTCAATCGCTTATTTTATTTTTATTACTTCGATAGATACACTCATATTCATATTAATGACTTCACTCGAGCGAATACTCACATATTAATATTTTACACACACACATGAGGGTCATATTACTTCTCCCTCTTATTATAATACAACTTGGCATCGCCTTTTTTATTTTTCATGTTATTTAGTGTCTCGAGGTTCTCAATAGCGCCAATGAGAGATTTTATTGCTAATGAGAGTGGAGACTCTGATTCGGAGAAGATTTTATTGGGAAAAGAGTTTCAATTGGGGTTCAAGGTTGAAGTTTTAATTTTTTTATTTAAAAAGTAATATGTGAATTTTTTTTTTTTTATTAAATCAAAGTTTATACATTCAAAAATTTGTATCTAGAGTTTTATATGAAAATTCATGAAAATTAAATTAGCCGACATCTTAAAATTTTAATAATTTATTTTATTGAAAAATTCTTTTAAAAAAAATTATAAGAAAAAATTTCACATGTAGAAAAATTAAAAAATCACTTAGTCTTAATTTAATTAATATTTTTTGAGTTACAGTCATTTTTGTGACAGCGTGTCAAATGATGAAAATTAATTTAGCAAATATTTAATAATTTTTCTAATAAATAAATTACTGCATAAAAAAATGAGAAAAAAAATGGACATTTAGAAATTTTAATAAAATAAAAATGCAATTTTTTAAAAATAATTTTTCGGGACAAATATTTTTGTTAAATAAAAAATGATCAAATGACAGCTAACTTTAATATCATTGTCAAATGATGATAGCCGACGTTTTTAATGTTTTGATTTTTTTTTTAATAATTAAATTAGAACAAAAAAATATTTTAAAAAAATTATACTTACAGTTTTTAAAGTTTTTTACAAGTGAAATTTTTTTTTTATTTTTTCGTAATTATTTTTTCAATAAAAAAAATTCTAAAAATGCTCTTATATTAGTGGAAAAAATTTTTTTAATAATTTTTTTTATTAAATTTTTATAATTTTTTTTATTACAAAAAAATTTTTTTCTCTTGTTAAAAACTTCAAAAACTATAAGCGCAATTTTTTTTAATTATAAATCAATAAATTAAGCGAAATAAAAAAAATAAAAAATGTCGGCTAACTTTATTATTGTTAAAACTTTCAAATATTTAAATTAAAAAATTTTTCTGCTTGATTTATGATTAAATTTTCTATAAAAAAGGTCATGAATTTTTGTCATATCTTAAATTTTTTAGACATAATATTAATTTAAAATAAAAAATTAAAAAAATGTCTCTAAAATCAACAAAATTTAATCTTTTGGCCATAATTTAATCAAGCGCACCATTAAAAAATTCTACCTAAACAAAACATCCAAGTAAAATATCAAAGCTAAAAAAAATGATTAAAGCAAGTTTAATAGCCTACAAAAAGCTTCTTATCACTTCCGGCGTATCTCTGTGCCCGTATCGAAAATTTCAGCTCGAAGGTCTAACTCAAAAGTCATAAAATAAAAATGTAATAATTAAATTTAAAGAAAAATAAGGATGAGAAGACTAAGAAAGAAGCACATACCGAGTGGAGTGTAAGTAGCCAGTAGTAACAGGGCGATATAGATTAACGAAGAGCAAGAAGTGATCTAGAGAGGGGACCAGATGTCGGTGCTGCGAACTGGATTCTGTATTACTCACCCATCGCGAGCAAAGTTAGCTCGGGAATTCGGTAAAAGAAGGAGAAGATGAAGTATATGTCTGTATAATAACTCGCACACTTGTAAACTCGAGTATGGTGGCTGGTGGATGGTGTATGGTACCAGAGATGATTATTCAGCCGGGAGATGTTGGGCCGGATGTAGGGAGGTGTTTTTATGAAAGCCAAGCTGTGTTGACGTCAATTATATAGGTGCAGACGTAGCAGGGACCAATGGCTGCCGGGAATTAACTTAACATTCGAGTCGTAGATCCTCGTATCGAGTCTACTCTGTACTCTGGATCTCCGGTCTCTCCGTATCGTTCTGGTCCCCCTTTACTTCGCTTTACTTATATCACTCTTATATGGGAACGAGAACAAGAACAGGAACGAGAATGGGCGAGCCAGGTCTCGGGGTTATCGCGGGATTTTCAAAATAGATAGCGACTGTTTAAACTAAACTGATACAAACACTAGTTTTAATCATGTGTTATTGTATGCTGTATGTTCGATCGGAAATAAAGCCAAGAATGGAGAATGACTCGCTCTGTTACGGACACATGCGTAATCTCCGAGAGGGAGTGTTACAGTTTAATACACCGACGTTACTTTTGATAAATTTTTCGTATCTCGGAAGTATTTTTAATAAATTTTTCTTCGGTAAATATATAAGAGGTATTTATTCAGAAGTTCGAGGTGATAAGCCAAGAAAGACACCGCAGATTTTATCTAAGTTTTTTTTTATTTATTTGGCTCGCTGCTGGACGAGGGGCCAGAGTGCATGGCCGATTTACGCTCATGCGTTTATGTATTATATTATTTGTTGCCAGTAAGAGTGTGTAAGTGTGTGAGGTAAGCATTCATCCGCGAGGTTATCGGCGTTTTGCCCCTGGTAAATGTGCCGAGTACCTATACATCGCCAGCTTGTACTGAGAGTTGTTTAAGCTCACGTTATGGGTAATGGTACGTCATTTTTAACTGTGAGATGGATTGCCAGGTATCGACTGAGTTTATTTATTTTATTATTTTTTTTTTAATAATAAAGATTTATTTTGGTTGAAATTTAGATTCTAGAAATTTTTTTTTGTTTTAATTAATTGGATAGTTTATAATTTTATATAATTTTTTGGATTTTAATGAATAATTATATTAATTTCATTTTTTAAAATTCGAAAACAATTATAGTTGTATCTGGAAATTTTTTGAATTTAATTAATTATTGTAAATGATAATTTTATTAAGATGATTTTAAGTAATTTAAAAATGTTTGCACAAAAAAAATTTCAAAGTTTGTAATAATAAAAATTTATTTTGTCCAAAATTGTAATTTTAATATGTATATTCTTTAATTTAACTTTTAAATAATTTTTTAAAATTTATTTTAAGAAATTTAAAACAAAATTTTTAAATTTTTAAGAATAAAAATTAATATTGTCCAAAATTTTGACTTCAATTTTTAATTATACTTGATATTTATATAAAATTGATTTTCAATAATTCAAAATCAATTAAAAAAATAAATTTGATAATTTAAAATAATAGGAATTAATTTTGTCCAAAATTGTGACTTTAATCTAAATATTTTGACATTAATTAATAATTGCAATTTAAATAATCTTATTAAATTTATTTTGAATTATTAAAAAAGCAATTGAGTAAAAAAAAATTTTTTTTTATCAATAACAAAAATTAATTTTGTCTTAAATTATGATTTTAATAAATAATTATATTAAAATCATTTTAAATAATTAAAAAGCAATTGAGCAAAAAAAAAAAATAAATTTTATCTAAAATTGTAATTTTAATAATTAATTATAACAAATTAATTTGGAAAAATTAAAAAGTAATTGAGCAAAAAAAGTAAATTGTTGTAGGGAGATGTACACATGTACCTACACTCAGAACCACAGACTCACTGTAAACAGCTCAAAGTTAAAACAACACAAGTAAAACTAAAAGTACAAGCACACGTAGACAAAACTGGTGTACAGTACCGCGGTAACTCTCAACTTGGTCTCTTTAATCTTAATACTTATCCGCAAATATTCTACTTGCTCACACTGAATCTGTGTAAGTAGATTTTTTTATTGCTGCTCAATGTACAGCTGGAGAAAAAAAATGAAATGGGTGTATATGCTATATAGTAGGACTATTTTTTACGAGACAAATTTAGACCGACAACAGCGTATAGATCAAGATGAGGATGAGGACGAAGATGAGGATGAGGATAAAAAAATAGATGGAGAATAAGAGGAAGAGCAAGAGGAGGATTGTTGATTCTTGGTGAGTTATTAGTCTCCTTAGAACAGAATGGTTCACTCACCGTGGCCGCTGGCAGTGTGGGCATGGGCTGTGAGACCGGCTCGAGACCCAGCCTCATGCGTTTCGCGTTGTCGCTCTCATTTTCGCAAGCCGTTGCCAAAATTTGCTCCGCCTGCACCGAGGTCAAGTGAGCCGGCGTCGGTCTCGCCTGAAATAATAAAATAAATTTACTAAATAAAGTTTTACCCTGGATCGTGGATAGAAAGGAGCCGAGCAAAGTAAAATGTGCTCACCGGAAAATAAAACTAAACGAGAGCTCACCAAAGAGAACAACCGAGTAATAAATAAAAATAAAAAAAAATAAAATAAGTATATTTTAAATAAGAGCGAGCTTAACATCGCGGTGAGATGCGTTCCAGGCATTCCGGAAATAAGCAATGTCGACTTGACTCAAGAGCACCCTTTTCTTTTTCTTTACTTTATTTTTGTTACTTCTTTGTTCCATTTTTTTAAGATAAACACCACTGAGAGTATCTTAGATCTTTTTTTTTTATAGAAAAAAAATTTATACGCACTAAGAATTTTCAAAAATTCTATTTTTTTTTTTAATGTCTTTTCAAAGTCGGGGAGATTTATCAGAAACTGCTGAGATCAGTTTCAAATTTTTAAACTGATGAAAAATTATTTGAACTGAGAAATTTTTTTTTATTTAAATGAATTTGTTTTTTTTTTTTTTTTTTTTAGTGTACATAATTTTTTTAACTATATTTTAGAGTAATTAAAGATTAGCTAGCAACCTTGCAGTCACTATGTGACTTGTGAAGTATAAATAAATAAAATTTTGTTTTGTTAAATAATGAATTTTGTTAAATTGCACTGTACTTTCTTAACTATTGACGTTTTTAAAGATATAAGCTCATCCCGATGTTACACTCACCAAGACCTTTCATTTGAGTACCCACATGCATTTTGATACATTTTTCATATATACATATATATAATATATATAAATATATGAAAAATTGATGCGGGTACTCAAATGAAAGGTCTCGATGAGTGTAACATCGGGATGAGCTTATATTTTTAAAAATATCAATAGTTCACGAGATACAAGGTCGTTTCTTAATTATGTTAAATTACACTGTACTTTCTTAGCTATTAATATTTTCAAAGATATAAGCTCATTCGGATGTTACACTCATCAAAAGCTTTCATTTGAGTACCCACATCCATTTTGACATATTTTTCATATATATACATATATATAATTTATATAAATTTATGAAAAATTGATGTGGGTACTCAAATGAAAGGTCTTAATGAGTGTAACATCGGGATGAGCTTATATCTTTAAAAATGTCAGTAGTTCACAAGATACAAGATAATTTCTTAATTATGTATCTCTAAAGATAGAGAATTTTCGAATGCAGCCTAAATACTTATTTACGCACAAATTCAAATCAATTAATTTTATTTTATCATATGGCTATTCTTGACACAAAATTTTTCTCATTCTCTTGATATAAATATTTTTATTGTCAATCCCTTATCTTTTTAAAAATAGATATTTCGATAATTTCTCCAATTAATAATTGAGCAATATCTTATATTAATAGAATTTTTTATCATTTCAATTAAAGATTTCGTAAGAACTAAAAATATAATTATTAGTTTATTAATTTTTATATTTATTAATTAAAAAGCTTCTTCATAAAAAATAATCAAAAAATCGCTTTTTAGCTTATTAAGTGCGTATATTTCTCCAAATAAAATTCTAGGTAAAAAAGTGAAATTAAAAAATCTCAATTAAGAAAATTATTTTAAAGAATTTATTAATCAATCAAGTAGAAAAATTCTTGAACTAAAAAATTGAAATGTTTGTCTAAAAATCAAAAATAAAATTATAATAATTAAATAAAAAAAAACTTACCGCGTCCCAAGGTGCTCCTTCTCTCCCGCGCTTGTTCCTCCTGCAGCTTTTGAGGTACGTTCTGATCCTCTTTCTCGCGCGTTCTGCGAACTCGGGGAACTGTCTGGTACAACTGTCAATAATCGCCTGGATCTTCTCCTTGGGCTGCTTCGAGATTGGCACTATGCGGTCCAAGTTCTCGTCGACGAACAGCCTGACGAACATCTGCCGGAATAATCGAGAGGACAATGAGTAAAACAATTATTATTATTATTATTAATATTTATACATGTGTTGAAAAATATTGGAGAGAGGGCAAGAGCGCCCTGGGATTCTATCCATGGTTTACAGACGTCATTCTCGAGGAATTAAGAATTAAACTGTTGAAGGGGACCTACCGTGGCTCGATTAAACTAATTGTAATTAATTAACGAGAGCTACCGGAGTTTTGTCTTCGGTCTCAGTGTATATGTATATGTAATGTAGTATAGTTGGTATGAAGCTTTATTACAAAAAGCCAACTTGAGCTCGAGTTTTATTCAAAGCACTCTGTTGAGTAAAAGTATAATTAAAGTAAACAAAGAAATTAAAACACTTGTTTAATTCCCTTTTCCTCTTGCTCTCTCCCTCTCATTACATCTATCCCGCAGTTCTCGGGGCGTCGGGCTCAAGTTCATAGAGCAATGCCGTTTTAATGAGCAGTCGAAATAACAAACTTCTCTTGAGGCTGCTTTGCTGATAAACAGATCACTCACTCAGCACTGATTTTATTATTAAATGTTGTTTTATGGATTTGTCGGTTAATAAGACTAACTAATCGGTTTAAAATTTTTAACGCTATTTATATCAGTAAAGTGAGGGTCATTTAGAATGTTTATTTTAATGAAAATATGTTTGATTTGTTGGAAAAAAAATTGAGAAGTATTTTTAACTTTACATTGATTTATTTATTAAATTTAATTTTAATAAATATTATAAAATGTTTATTAATTAAAGATGATTTATTAACTGTTTATAAATATTTTTTAATAATTAAAAAATATATGTTCATTGTTGATAAAGGTTAAGTTAATTAATAAATTATTAATAAATAGTTTGATATTAAAAAATTATTTATTGAAAATTAATAATAAAGTTTATTGAATATTAAGAAATTCTTCTATCAGTGTAATCAATTTTCTAATATCTAAATATTAAATTAATTTTATAATGTAAATTTTTATAATTAATTACACCAAATTTAAAATTAAATTTTTTTATAATTTGTCGGAAGTTCACATTGAAAATTAATACTTAAAACAAGGAATTTAAATTGTGCGCTTCGCGCGCTTTAATTTTTCAACCAATAAGCAATCAAGGACCACATTTTTGCGATAATTTGATACTAAATTAACTTCACACTTATGTTTATTTCATCTATTTTAATTTATAGGATTATATCTCCAAATAAAAAGTTGGTTTGGTAAGATGTGAAACTTTGTTGCTAGGCAACTGTTGTTATGGGAGTGTTGCCTAGCAACGGTTGCTATGGGGGCGTTGTCAAAGAGGAAGATTGCAATAGGGTTTCTACAAAGATTTCTATGGAATTTTTTATTGAAGTTTCTACACGAAAAGAACAAGATGACCTAGATTATACTCAGTGATATCTGTAGTGAAAGAAAATTTCAGATAGTAGCTAGAAAAATCCAGATTATAAGGGTAGTAAGCGCTCGAGATTATTTTGATTGATTTGATTGTATTAATTTTACTTGTTATTAACTTCACTGATATGTTTACTTTTTTTTTTGTTTTTACATATTTTGTATTTAATAATTATATATCAGTGTTAACGAACAAATTATTTGCGTTGTAATTTTTATTTTAATGTGACTTTATTGCAGATATATTATCCGGGCGTAGCGCGCGATTCATGCTAGTTATATAAAGATGTAATTTTTTAAAAAATTTTTTAATTGCAATTTTCACAATTATTTTTTCAAAGCATTTAATTATTAAAATTTACATTATAAATTGGAATTATTCAATTTTTTTTTTTTTTCGTGTAATAAATTATTGAAAAAAATTTTTTATTAAATTTTCTGATGTAAAATTAAAGAAAAAAAATTATGTAATTTTTTTTTTAAGTATTTTTGAGCACTAAAACGTCTTTAATATAATTTTAAATAAATAAATAAATAATAATAAATAAATTTTTTAATTAATACTTACATTAAAAGCCTTAAGACGTTCAGGATCGTGGTGCCGGGGATCGAGTCGCTCATCAACATCCTCATCATCATCATCCTCATCTTCCTTGTTTCCGCTGCTGCTAGTTTCATCCTGAGCACTTCCAGCACCTTCTCCACCAGTGGGACTGGACTCGCGGTCGCGATCTGACCGCGATGGCGTACAGGAGGAGGCAGGTGGTGGTGTCTTCTTGAGTCCCATTGCGTAGGACGCCCACAGCGAGGCCATATCTTCGCCTCCGACTCCAGCGACTGCTCCGAGGTTCGGTACGCCCGAAGACAGTTCTCCAAGTTCAGATGTTCCGTTCCGAGAGTCTAGACATAAAATAAAATAAAATAAAATAAAATAAAATAAAAAATTATACATGGAACGTAGAAGGGTACTAGGAATTAAAAATAGAACGATGTGCCAACAGAATATAAAAAATATAAAAATGCTGGTGATGGTGATGGTCTTGGTGTTTAACATTCGGTTACGTCAGATTTATTCAAGTTGCGAAACTGAGCCCGAGGTACTGGCTGGCATTTTGCGAATCAACCAACGTGTCACGGGACAGTGTTGCCATTGCTTTTGCTTTTGCTATTAACTAGTTACTATTGACTATCACGCAGAAATAAAAGGGACAGGCAAGGAGTTTGATTAATGATTGTTTGAGATATTTGAAAGAAAAAAAAAAAGTTTAATTATAAGAAACTAAACTGAAAAGTAGAAGATATTTTTTGTTAATTTTAAAATAATAATAGAATTAATTTAAAAAATTATTTTGTGCCTTTTCAAGGTTTCATTTCATTCTCACCGATAGTCAATTTATTATGATAAGTATTTAGGCTGCATTTTAAAATTCTCTATCTCTAGATACATAATTAAGAAATGACCTTTTATCTTGTGAAATATTGACATTTTTAAAGATATAAGCTCATCCTGATGCTACACTCATCAAGACCTTTCATTTGAGTACCCACATGGTATTTTTCATATATTTTATATATATGGTATTTGTGAAATATATAAATATATTAAACATATGAAAAATTTATGTGGGTACTCAAATGAAAGGTTTTGATGAGTGTATCACCGGAATGAGCTTATATCTTAAAAAATGTCAATAACTAAGAAATGACATTGTATCTTGTCAACTAATGACATTTTTAAAGATATAAGCTCACCCCGACATTACACTCATCGAGACCTTTCATTTGAGTACCCACATCATTTTTCATATATTTATATATATTATATATATATGTATATGTATATATAAAAAATATATCAAAATGCATGTGGGTACTCAAATGAAAGCTCTTGATGAGTATAACATCGGGATGAGCTTATATCTTTAAAAACGCCAATATTTAAGAAAGTACAGTGCAATTTAACAAAATTCATTAAATAAAACAAAATTTTAATTTTTTTTATTTCACAAGTCACGGCAGTTACATAGTGATTGCAAGGTTGCTAGTAATAAGTATTTCATCAGATATTTTCAATTAATGAATTCAAAACTCCTATCAGTGCAGTATTGTATAGGATAAATTTTTCTTGATTCTGAACCAGAAATCCGCGGCAACGTCCTCTGGCAATTCTTCGACCTCGGAATCGCCACTAAAGGAAACCGATACTGAACCTTTGGATCTGTATATAATACTACTCGTTGCTTCTTATTTTACTTGTTCTTATTTTTATTTTTATTCTTATTCTTATTTTCTGACTTGGACTGGAAGTAGTTTTCGTTTTATTATTCGCTTCTTACTTTAATACTTTTCTCTTTTCTCATTCTGGCTTTTTACCCTCCCAGGTTTTATCGGCGTGGAATCGATTCGACGGTCATCTCTGGGATAACTTGAGCAGAAAGAAAAATAAAAAATTGAGATATCTTTTCCTAGAGCCTCCTGAGTTTGAGTTAAGAGTAGCCGGCTTTGGCTTTGGCTTTAGCTTCGCCGAGTGATCGGCCATCATCGGTACTCTGGTGTATTAGCATTGCATCTGTACATCGGAAAAAGGAGCCATAATAATAATAATAATAATAATAAAAATAAAAATAATAATAATCATATAATGTAAGACCGAAAGCTGGTTCGTTACGCAATCGACTACGACTACGACGCGACTAAGATATATAATAATATAATATAAGTAAACCCGGCATAACCAGTTTCGCATCTGACCGGCTAGGCACGAGTGGATTAAGTTGAGCCGTTTTGTTCAGGATGAGGATCAGGATGACCACAGATACACCCAGACATTGAAAAAGGAGTAAATTATCATCCAAGTCCAAGCTCTTATAATCACGGATCTATTTTAAATTAGTGTTAAGGATAAATAGGGATCTGAGAAATATCTTGTAAAATATATTATAGATCTTTAATTTAATTTTTTTTATTTTTACAATAATAATAAGATTTTTTCCGCTATATTTTAAATCAATATTCTGTTCAAAAGATCAAAAATTGATCTTTTTTAAACATTAACCTTTTTAAAGATATAAGCTCATCCCGATGTTACACTCATCAAGACCTTTCATTTGAGTACCCACATCAATTTTTCATATAGTTGATATATTTATGTATATTGTATATATGTATATATGAAAAATGCATGTGAGTACTCAAATGAAAGGTCTCGATGAGTGTAATACATATGGGAATGAGCTTATATCTTTAAAAATGTCAATAGTTCACAAGATATTTGTTAAAATGCCCTGTACTTTTTTAACTATTGACGTTTTCAAAGATATAAGCTCATCCCGATGTTACACTTATCAAGAGCTTTCATTTGAATACCTACATGCATTTTTGATATATTTTTCATATATACATATATATAAATATATGAAAAATTGATGTAAT